CTTGCCACCCCCAGTTTAGGGCAGGGCATGGCTCGCTGGCGGTAGTCGGTCTTCCGTCCTGGAGTTGGAGGGAGGGAAGGGCTGACAGTGGAGAGGGCTGCGTTTGGTGAGGCAGCACTCTACACCTTCCTGAGCTCCTCAGCCAGTGGCCTTGGGCAGCCTGGGCACCTCGGTAGCCTGGGCAGCCGCCATTCTGTGAGTTGTTCTGTGCTGAATGACTCATAGACTCACCTCCTGGGGCGAGGGGAGGCCACAGAGGGGAGCTCTGAAGAGTGGGCACATCTAGCATGGGAAGGAGCTGGAACTGCAGGGACACCAGGGGATCGTCTCCAATGAGGTGGCCCACAAGCTCATCACTGCCTTTCCACAGGCAGCTCAGACCCCAGCTGACCATGAAGCCAGGGCCACATTCTGAGCCTTTCCTGTTAGTGATGGTGAGCAAGACCCTGCCCCACTCCTTGCCCTGGCCCTCTCCTCTGTGTTTCCTGGCTACACCTGGATCCAGACAACTCAGCAAAATGACAGCTGGAAAAAAACCGCTCTGCTCGGAAATGGTCCCCCGTCAAGGTGAAAGGCAGCCTGGTGCTGCCAGACCTGCCCAGCAGCTGCGGGCACGCCCTCCTCCTCCCTCCCAGCACAGAGTCTCATTCATACGGTCAGGCAGGTCATGGCCATGTGAGTGTCACGTTCAGTGCCCAGAAAATGGCAGAGGCTTCTTCCTCTGCAGCAGGAACAACAGGCTGTAGTTAGGGCCTCGCCTCTGTTCCAGTAGCTAGGGTCTCGGTCAGGTCCTCCGGAGAGCAGGGTCTGTGGAAACAACAAGGCCCTGGCTGAGCGGTCAGTCGCCCTTTGTCCCAATGGCACTTTTAAAAATGGTGTGTCAGCGTGGTCTTTGGGGAAATGGGGATACCAAAGCTTTCAATGACCAGCTCTGGCCAACGTAGCTAACTGGCTCAGACGAAGACTCAGATCGGTGTTGCCACGTCCAGGCCTGGTGGAAACCGAGGAAGAACCTGATGGCTGTCGGGGACGGAGGACCGAGGGGCTGGCGGGAGGCGCGGCTCGACTTCCTGCAGCCCCGCAGCCCTCACTCCTGACTGAGCAGGAGGATGAGGCCACAGGGAAGGACCGCGGTTTCCTCCTGAGCCTCCCCTGGGAGGTGAGGAGACAGTCTTCAAGGAGGAGGCAGCTGCGGAAAAGGTAAAAATACAAGGAAAACAGGAGAAAGGATAGGTGGATTCCAACACTTGCGCTGCAGCGAGTAATGAATGGCTTCCTCCTCACTCAGGCTTCGGTTGCCCCCAAATCTCAGCGATCCCCCAAATCAGAGCCTCTGGCCCACGCCTTTCTCGAGCTCCGATTCTTGTGTCTCAGGCGCTGGATACCTGACTGGTCCAGCGCTGAGCTCAGCATCTCTCTGTGACTGCCCCACGTCCTAAGTCCCGTCGTGGCCGAGCATGTCACCAGACACGTGCCTCTGAGGTACCCTCTTCCCCGCCCTTGTCTTCTAGAAATGGTGTAGAACTAAGCCCGGTCAGTGCCAAGCCCTAAATTTCTCGCACGTTCTACAGCTCCTGCCTCTGGGCCCTGGGTCGAAATCATGCTCCACCGCGTGCTTTCTGGATAATCCTGGGCCTCAGGCTTCACGTCGGTAGAATCGGGGTAATGAGAGTACCCGCCTCCTAGGATGGCTCTGAGGACTGAGCGAGCTTAGTGCCTGTGAAGCGGCCCGAGCAGGGCCCGCCCGAGCAGGACTCAGTTAGCAGGAGCTGTTCTTGGCGGGTCTGGCCGTCTGGTGCCCCTGCCCAGCGCCGCCCGTGCAGAGCCTCCTTGCTCAGCTCAGACGTGCAGGTTCTCACAGCGCTTGCTGCTTAAAGACCAGCTGCCGAGACACGGCGTTAACCCTTAGGCCAGCGCCCAAGGCCCGGCTCCCAGCCTCCTCGGGTGTCCACAGGCCCACATGGGCGCGCGCCCCACGCGTCTCTGACCGCGCCGAGCTTCGCGCCCCGTGGCTCTTCCTCCTGGATCCCGCACTGCAGTGGACGTCCTCCTCCCCCGCCTCCTCCCCCGCCTCCTCCTCCCACCTCCTCCTCCCGCCTCCTCCTCCCCCTGCGGCGGGCACACGGGGTGCCGAGGGGGCAACGCGGGCGCCTCTCCCGATCCCGCAAGTCACGTGCTGTAACTCGCTGATTCCCACAACCACCCTGTGACGCGCATCCTCTTTTCGCCTCCTTCTCCCAGCAGGAAACGGAAGCTCAGTGGCGCTGGGATTGCGTCCAGGCGTGGCGGTGCCCAAAGTCCCCACGGTTGCATCGATTTCACACAAAGCCCTCGTGTCATTTTAGAGTGAAAAACAGAGGTCTTCGAGAGGGCGAGGACATAAAGAGGCTGTGGACACAGGGCCCTCAGAACAGAACAGAAATGGTGACTTTGTGATGTGTGGATGTAGTTGAGCTGGAACACGTTTCTGGAATTAATGAAATTGGGCTGGTCTCAAGAAAGCTGTCAGAGTTGAGGGGAAATGAGGTGGCAGCCACATTTGCGCTGGAAAGGTCGGTGCACGGGTAGTCGCAGACCTGCTGGCTCACCCTACAGGAGTGGGGGACCACCTGCACCTCCTCCTTCAGCTTCTGCTAACCCGGGCTGGGCCTGGGGCGCTGCCCAGCAGGACACACCCAGAAGGTAAGGCTGGGAGGCGGGGCGGTGTGGGATGCAGACCAGCTCTTCCTCCTGGGCCCCCACTGCAAGACCATCTTCCCTTCGCTGCGGACACAGGCCCGGTGCCCAGCCTAGAGGGACGCGCTTATAAAGGCCGCTTACCCAGCTCTCATCCCTCCGGTAAGCCTGGTGTGTCACTCCGTGGTTCTGGGAGTTCACTGGATTTTGAATTAAATGAAGAAAGAAGCATTTGAATAAATAAATAAATATTTTGATTGGTTTAGGCTTTAAATTTCAGAAGAACTGAAACTAAGGGAACTCATTTTTTCCAACCTTCCTTGAAGGATAAATTAATATGTATTACATGTTCTCTCAAAGAGCCCCTACGTTCACAGCTTTTTAAAGTAACATAATGGCTGACAGTGCAGTGATTAAAGTACGATCAATATGGAACTGACGGTAAAGGAGTCGTGACTTTTTGAGTGGTTTTGTGACTTATTTGAGGGTATTGGTGATTGTACACCCGCTTCCCTGGGAGGCAGTGATGAGGGACAGGCGATGCCCACAGGACTTGGAGGGCCTTCCATCAGAATGTCTGCCTCACCGTAACCCGGTGGTGCCCGGCCACTGAGGAACGTGAAATGCAGGAATGGCTGGCGAGACAGCAGCTGCTCCTGTCAGCAGGTCTAAGCTACTATGATGTCCAACGGAAAAGGCAAGCCGAGGAAACAAAAGCAGGTGTAGAACTGCGATTCGAAATAATATGTGTATATTTAAGGGATTGCTCCAAGTGACAGAGAGATTCAAGGCTGATTCCCTATCCTACACCTAGGTCTCATTTGATCTTCCAAACATCAGCCAACCCAGTGAAGTAAACTTACCCCCCTTAAGTGAATGGAGCTTTTGAACTCTTCGCATTGAGTTACCCTTTAGCCCTGGATTCCAGGATTCCCTTTGTTCCTTGGCGGCCATGATGAATGAAGTGTCTGCCTGCAGGGTGGAGAGCAGGCCTGGTGGGAGGTGGCCTGGACACTCAGCCTGGTTTGCAAAGATTCAGCTTTTGGGGCCAGATCTGGCCCTAAATCTTGCCTCTGCTGCCAGCTGGTCTGGAGCAAGTTACTCACCCTTTTTGATTGAATGTTCTCCTCTGTAGTAGAGACTGGCACAATTGAATAAGATGTCTGTGGAGGCCTAATAATGCAGGCCAGGATTATCGTTCTGCTTTACTTTGCTCTCATTACGGCAGTTACAAAACAGTACCTCCCATATTTCAAAATAAAATTGTTTTGTTCACGTCCATCTTTTCAGTCTTTTCAGTCTTCTTCAGAACGAGTCTAGCTTTCCAAGGTCTCTTTGTATATTTCAGGCCTTTATCTAACTACAGGCCCTCATCACAATATCCAAAACCTTCCCGAAAGGACATGGATGAAAAGATGGTGATTATTCATGCCACATGTACATTGGTCTTTTGGATAAAATAGGAAAAGCAAGAAATACAAAAATCTTAACTTCCTTTAATATAGTAGACTCGAAAGATCTGTAAAGATCTATTTTGAAACAACTATCTTTTCATATTTAAAAATTCTAGTAATTTTCCTATTTCATTTTCCTTCACATTATTAACAATCACTTGTGGGCCTTGTGAAATTTCCAGACTGCACACTGGCTCAGAGCAGTTGTGTTCCAAACAGACAAACCAGTTGGGTTAGTGACAGAGGCTTTGAACCCACGGAGGCTGGCAGTCAAGAACAGTTGGACAGGGCTGCGTGCCACTCGGCCTTTTATCCAAGGATAATCCTAACCTTTGTGCATATGCCTGGCTTTAGCCGAGAGCTTCGTCCAAGAACATTATGGTCCCAACCCCTGCTGGCTTCGCTCTACCCCCAGAAGCCTCCCTGGCTGCAGTGGGGGAGGGGGCATAAAGCAGTTTCTGACACCCTAGACTTTCCTTGTTTGAGGAAGAAAGAGGGAAGAAGAGTAGGGGTTTGGGTTCAGGCCACTGTGGGTTTGTGTCCCAGGTCTAGCCCATGCTGTCTGGGATTATTAAGCTGCTCACAGCCTCAGTTTCCTCAAATATAAAATGGGAATGGACTCTGGCTGTCGTGAGGCACTGATAATGAGATGTGTACGTTCAGTGCCTGGCAGGCGGTGCTCCGTCAATGGCAGTTGCGTCTAAGGACAGTGTTGACAGGGGAGCACGCAGAGGACGGTGCGGGGCCTCGGGGCGGGCAGCCTGAATACCCACCGAGAGGCTGCCTGTGCTCCGCCTGCACTTCCCCCGTTTGGGGCGGTGGCAAGAACACAGACGCGGGACATGGAGAGGAATGAGACCAACCACGGAGTATGTGGCACCTTTTTATTTGATCAGTCTTTATTTTAAATGTGTGCTTTTGAAATAGCTTATTAAATATGACCTTTTCAAAATTCAATTCTCACAATATTTACAGTGAATTTTGTGCAAACATATTTTGACTGTGAGCTTTTGGCTTCCTTTTTCACGTAAATAATTTACAAATTTGTATTACAGCAAAAACCCAGCCACTTCATTTATTCCCTCTTAAGACTCTAGTTTTGTTTGACAGGTACTAAACTAGGATGAGGGGTTGCTAGCAAAGAGCTAATTTAAGCCCGGGAGAAATAACATATATTTATCAAAAAAGGTTATGTCAAGACCTTGCTTTTCAATTGAAAACACATGTCCCATAATGTTGTGGGACAGTATTTAAGCAACTAAATACATTTACAATGGTTATTGTGCCCTTTTTTTTTTTTTACATTCATCTCTTTTAACCAAATAAGCAAAACCAGAAAATCAAATTCTAAAGGACTTTGAAAGGTTATGTCAAGACCTTGCTTTTCAATTGAAAACACATGTCCCATAATGTTGTGGGACAGTATTTAAGCAACTAAATACATTTACAATGGTTTTTGTGCCCTTTTTTTTTTTTTACATTCATCTCTTTTAACCAAATAAGCAAAACAAGAAAATCAAATTCTAAAGGACTTCGGACTGTCTGGGAATGTCATAAAAGTGGTCAGACTTCAGTTACTAAGAAATGAAGGTCGTCAGACAGGCTGCTGGCTGACCCTCCCCTGCTGGCCACGGCTAGAGCTGATGTAGAAGGTCCCGCAGGTCCCACGCCATATGCTTCAGGATTCCACGCTGGGCACAGAAGACCATGAACCTGCGCCCCAGCCAAGATGGGTGAAACCCTGCCAGATAATTCTTCAGATGCAAAATGTACAGAGGGCGCTGACCCTGGAGAAGGACCCCTAGAGAGGGGTCGCCCCCTCTCTGGGTGGAGAATACGGCACCCAATATTGTTAAGTCAAGGCTCCTACAAAAGGCAATAAGTCATGATTTAGAAACAGAATTATGAAAAGAATACAGGTTAATGATTGTTCCTTTAATGTCTTGTAAATATAGCTTTAAATTTTCATTTTATATACTTGAGGTCTGAAAACAAGCCATGACTTTTTTTTTGGTTCCATGCCTTTTTTAAAAAACACAAATTAAATCCTGAATCATCCTAGTATGCAAGAGAGTATTTGGGACCAACATTTTACAGGTTTTCTACCTTCTCACTGAAGACTTTGATGGGAAATTAGAGTGATAGATTATTAGAAAATAAACTGAAAAAATTTTGTTTAGTCATCTGAGAATTGTTCCATGCATTTAATCATTTGCCCTCCCAATGGCAATGTTCCCTTATTACATAAAAGTGGTATAAAGATTTGTGCAACCCTCTGGACACATGGTTTTGTACACACTAGGCATCGCAATGCAATGATTCCTAATCTAAAACACACCTTAACCACAAAACATTTTTCCCATCGTAAGAATTACGGATGAAACACTCCACGCATTCACAAATGCGACAGAAGTCAGTGTGAAACAGTGGTGACCAGAGCTAGAGCTGTGGTTCTCAACTATCTGTTCCAAGTTCTCAAGTGAGCGGGTTACACCACATGGGTCTCCTCAGCCCGTGCCTCTTGCTAACCCACCCTATCTGTACTTCACTGGCTCCACGCTAGCACCCCCCACCCCCACCGCAGGATGGAGTCGGAGTGTGCCAGGAGCCAGGCGTGCTGAGGATGGAACGTGGGACAAGTGAGCAGCAAGGAGGGCTGGCCAGGGAAGTGGATCCCGATTCCCCAGGAAGTCAGGAACCATGAACTACTGTCAAAAGACACGGGCCGGGAACAAGAATACATAATGACTAAAAACATGGATCATATTGTTTCAGATCTTTCAGCGCCTTCAGAAATGTGTTTATCCAAGTGCAAATAGGTGACACTGTCTTATCCCTCTGGTCCCATGCCCAGCTCTTCTCTGTGAACTGAATCCTCTTTGAGGACTCAGTGATGCCCATCATTTGGGCTCTTCCTTGCTGGCTCACAGCGACTGAGGGCTCAGGTCTGCAAGCACACGGCCCTGCCGCCTGTCACCAAAAAAGGGTTAAAATCGCTGTTTTCAATGCCTAATACAATGGGTCTGATTTCTCATAAATAATCACAGACTTGATTAAAATGAATATATTATTCTAGGTTAATTCTTTTTCATTCAAATGTTTATATTCTATCTACCCCGAACAATGAATTGAGAAAAAACAGGCACCTCAAAAGCCTTGCCAAGAATGATTACTTTTTGAAATGACACTTTGTACAAACTGAACAAATGAGGAAGTGACTGTGGCAGGAAACGCTGAGACTTCAAGGGGCTGTTTTCTTCAAGTCTCGAATCTGTTTTATCAAGTAGTTCTTCTCGTCAGTGAACTGCTCGTCGTCCGTCCTTTCTTTTTGGAAGCTGCTCAGAAACTCAATGAGCTTGGGTTGATTTTTTAATAGAATCTCCACGATAGGCTGCGTTTTGTGAGGACTGGCCACAAACACCTGAAACATAAAGAGACAAACATAGAGGACAAAGAACGCACACCAGGGACGACGCGGATCCCACTTGTGTTTTACGTGGTACCTGTGTTAGCAGAACATAGAAAGCCTAGATCAAACTTCCTTATTGAGGAAAATCAGTAATTCCCCTTTCACATTTGTTTTCTATATATTCTATATACATATATTTAATATATTTAAAATTGTATAATTATATATTTTAAGTTACAATTAAATATATAATTACATATTGAATACAATATATTCGATATATATTTAATGTAATGTATTCAACGTATAATATATTTAATATATTCATCTGGCTCAAAATTCAAAAAGGACAAAGGTGAAAAGTCTCCCTCTTACCTTCCCTTCCTGGAGGTCACCAGTGTTACTGTTTTCTTATGTACATGGAGTTTTAACATTTACAATTGCCCAGGCCCCACCTCCCAGAGACTCCAGTTCAGCAGATCTGGGCTGGGAGTCTGGCATTCTGTATTTTGATAAAGCTCTTATGTGTGTTCCAGGTTGAAATCATAATACTGGACTAATAGCTCAGCTCTACTATAAAAGACAGCGACAACTATAATTATAGGACGCAATCACTCAAAACTATAATACTGATTGGCATGATGTTTTGCAATGGGCATACTTCCTAGTTAGATGCTATATGCTATATGTATGATTACAGGACCAGAATACCCACAAAAGTACTGACTCCCATATAGCTCTCTGGTTGCATGTTCTGTGCTCCTGACTCTAAAGGGGCTGAGTGTTGCACCACCAGCCCCTCTGCCCACAGCCTCCACATTCTGTACCTCAACAGTGCACGACTCTACTCTGAACATACTAGGAAGAAGGATCGGTTATGGAACAGTGGGGGCTACAAAGTTGAGCCCTAAAGGTTCCCCCAACTCAGCAAATATGGGGATGGAGAAAACTACAAAAGGATGTTAGGAACCTATAAGGAAGAAATAAGAGGCTGCAGAAGTTCAAAAGAGATGGAGATTATATTAGATTCTGCTTTTGGAACAGAAGGGCTCATGGTGCAGGTGACAAGAGAGCTAGTCTATGAATCAGATTTTCTATTTCTTCTTGAGTCAGTTTGGTAGTTTGTGTGTTCCTAAGGATTTGCCCATTTCATCAGTAATTCCCCTTTCACATTTGTTATAGGTTATCTAATTTGTTGATGAATAATAATTCATAGTGTTCTCTTATAATCTTTAAAAATTTTTTCTATAAGGAGAATGAATCAGTAATCAAAAACCTCTCAACAAAGAAAAGCCTAGGGCCAGATGACTCCACTGGTAAATTCTGCAAACTTTTAAAGAATTAACACCAACTACTTCAATTCTTCCAAAATATAAAAACTCATAAGAGTTATAGTGTTACCTAGATATCAAAGCCAGACAAAGATATCACAAGAAAACTACAGATCAATTTCCTTTATGAATAAAGATGCAAAAATCCTCAACGAAATTCAAGCAAACTAAGTCCAGCATCATATTAAAAGGATTATATGCCATGGCCAGGTAGGATTTATTCCAGAAACACAAGGGTGACTCAACATAATAAAATCAATGTACTACACCACATGTACTGGGGTGAACTGTGTCCCTTCGAAGGACGCATGTCCAAGTCCTAACCCTCGGTACTTACGAATGGGACCTCATTTGGAAATAGGGATGCGATCAAATTAAGATGAGGTCATACTGGGCTAGGATGCGCCCTAATCCAATGACTAGTATCCTTATTAGAAGAGAGATATTTGGGACACAGAGACACACAGGGATACACAGAGGAACATGCCATGTGGAGACGGAGACAGAGATTGGAGTTATGCAGCTATAAAGCCAGGAATGGATTGCTGGCAACCAGCAGAAGCCAGGAGAGGCACAGAACGGATTCTCCCTAAAAGCCTCCAAAAGGAACCAATCCTGCTGACACCTTGATCTTGGACTTCTGGTCTCAAAACTTTGAGAAAATAACTTTCCATTGTTTTAAGCCACTCGGTCTATGGTACTTTGCTATAGCGGCCCCAGGAAACCAACGCACCACATTAGTACAGTGAAAGAAACTGCACAATCATTTCACTTGATGCAGAAAAATTACTTGACAAAATCCAACACCTTTTCATGATAAAAAAAGAAAAACTCAACATGGGATAACTCGATATCCAAATGCAAAAGAATAAAGTTGAGCCCTAACCTCATACCATAAATAAAAATTAACTCAAAATTGGTCAAAGACCTCAATATAAGAGCTAAGAAAACTTTTAGAGGAAAATATAGGGGTGCAACTTCATGACCTTGGACTTGGCAATGTTTTTTAGCTATGACCAAAAGCAAAATCCACTAAAGAAAAAATAGATAAACTAAACATCAAAGGTCAAAACTTTTGTGTATTACTGCTGGATTCTAAAGGGTCTTTGCAGTCATCAGAAGGTTAAATGATGTGAGGTCTCAACCTGGAGTTCAGACTATATCAAATCCATAGACAAATCAATGGTGCTGCACTGTATATGGCTACTCAGTTCAATGAAAGACTGCATTTCCGTTATTCTGCATAAGAGAGAGTGTTTACATATCACTGTAATAAGGGAGAGAGGGCGACTGCTGCTGGCAGACACATAGCTAATGAGTTGCTCAGGAATAAATCTGTCTGGATTAATTCCCCAGGGAAGTGGCAGGGTGCCATTTCTGTACCAATAGGTGAGTGTAGTTTGTTTGTTGAACACTGTACTCAAGAACATATGATTCTTGATTTTACAAATTAAAACATACCGTTATCTCTTTAAAAAAACAACACACAACTTTTGTGTGTCAAAGGACACTATCAAGAGAGTAAAAAGACAACACACAGAATGGGAGAAAATATTAATAAACCATAAATATGATAGGTGTCTATAATCCAGAATACATAAAGAACTCCTATAACTCAAAAACAAAAATACAAACAACCCTTTTAAAAAGGAGGTAAAGGTATCTTCAGATTGCTTGGTGGTTCAAGCAAGGTGGTCCTGGGAAGGGCACAGGCTGTGGCTAAACTTGGTTTGCAGCGGGGCCCTTCCCAGGATGCCCCAGGGCTGGCACACCTAGTGGCCAGCTTTAGAGCTGGAGCTCCCTAAAGGGCTGCATCTGAGAACCACACACTCAAAGGGCAGACTGGACAGGTATCAGAGTTTTGCTAAAGCAAATCCTGCTCTGTAGGGTCAGTCCCTCACTGGTTAGTCCTTACAACCTATAGGTCCAAGGATCAGTCCATCACACTTATGTGCAAACAGCAACCAAGGTTCAACCACAACAGGAGGGCACACACAACCCATACACGGGACATACTTGGAGCACCTGGCTCAGGTGATCAGTAGAGACTGTGCCGCTGGGCCTCACAGCATGCTTACTATATAATGCCACTCTACTAAGACCAGGAGACAGCAGCCCTATCTATTACATAGAAACAAACACAGGGGGGCAGCCAAAATGGAGAGACAAAGAATCATGTCCCAAATGAAAGAACAGAACAAATCTCCAGAAAAAGAAATAAACAAAATGGAAACAAGCAATCTACCAGATGCAAAGTCCAAAATACTATTTATAAGAATGCTCAATGAACTTAAAGTAGATAAACTCTGAAAACTTTAACAAAGAAATAGAAAACATAAAAACAGAGCTAGAAAATATAAAAAAGAACCAGTTGGAAATGAAGAATACAAAACTGAAATGAAGAATATCTTAAGAGGAATCAAAAATAGATTAGATGACACAGAAGATCAAATCAGCAATTTGGAAGACAAGATAGCAGAAAACACTCAATCTGAACAGCAACAAGAAAAAAGAAATGAGGATAGTTTAAGGGGTCTCTGGGGCAACATTAAACATACCAACATTCACACCCAGAAGAAGAGGGTGAGCAGGAAATTGAAAACTTATTTGAATAAATAACGACAGAAAACTTCCCTAACCTGGTGAAGGAAATAGACATACAAGCCCAGGAAGTGCAGAGTTCCAAACAAGATCAACCCAAAGAGGCCCACACCAAGACACATCATCATTAAAATGCCAAAGGTTAAAGACAAAGAGGGAATCTTAAAAGCAGCAAGAGGAAAGCAATTACTTACCAACAAGGGAGCATCCATAAGACTGGCAGCTGATTTATCAACAGAAATCTTACAAGCCAGATGGCATTGGCATGAAATATTCAAATTGATGAAAAAGCAAGGACCTACAACCAAGATTACTCTACCCAGCAAAGCTATTATTTAGAATTGAAGGACAGAAAAAGAGCCTCCCAGACAAGAAGCTAAAGGAGTTCATCACCACCAAACCAATATTGCAAGAAATATTAGAGGGACTTCTTTAAGAAGAAGGAAAAAATTTTTAAAAATATGAATAGTAAAATGGAAATAACTACATATCTATTAATTACTTCAAATGAAAAAGGATTAAATGCTCCAACGAAAAGATAGTATAAGAAATGGATAAGAAAACAAGACCTTTACATATCTATCTACAAGAGACTCACACCAGATCAAAAGACACACAGACTGAAAGTAAAGGAATGGAAAAAGATATTTCACAAAAATGGAAATTAAAAAAATCTAGGATAGTAATACTTGCATGAGACAAAATGACTTTAAAACAAAGGCTATAACAAGAGACAAAGAAAGACCCAGTAATCCCACTTCTGAGTATTTATCCAAAGAAACCCCAAATACTATTTTGAAAGGACATGTTCATCTACAATAGCCAAGATATGGAGGCAACCTGGGTGTCCATTAGTGGATGAATAGATAAAAAAAGGTGATACATACATACAATGGAATATTACTCAGCCATAAAAAAGAATGAAATCTTGCCATCTGCAGCAATATGGATGGACCTAGAGGGTATTGTGCTGAGTGGAGTAAGTCACACGTAGAAAGACAAATGTCATATGATTTCACTTACAAGTGGAATCTAAAGAACAAAATAAACAAAGACACAAAACAGAAACAAACTCATAGG